TATATTAATTTTGTCTTTATTGACAGATATTGAACCCATCATAGTGGACATTTTGACTCCAATTTAATATACTAAGGATTAAATTTTTATTAACATATGATGTATTTCGTAATCTTAGTTTATAAACTTTTTTTTGTTTTGCAAATTCTAAATTACAGAGATAAATATCATCTCGAATTTTTTAAAAGAAGACAAGAAGCAAATATTTTTAATTTGAAAATAAAAAATCTCAATTTAGAAAATAATTCAATACCTCTAAAAACATTATAACAATAAATAGTAAATTATTTCAAAGGTAAAATAGAAAAAGTGTTATTGAATATAAAATATTTCTTTAGAATTTTGAAGAAATATGTAATATAAAACACATATTTCCCTTAAAAAAACAAATATAATAAAACAAAAGGAGTATTTAAAAAGTAAAAAAATTATTCAAAATTAAAAAGAAAAAATCACTGTAATTTACCCACTAACTATCAAGTCATCAAATGTTAAAAATTGTATATCCTGAGTTGTGTTAGGCTTTTGTATCACATGAAATGAAACTTGTCTATTAAACACATACAGAGAGAGTTTATTCCTATGCTGACTTCTTAGCTAAATTATCTCATAAGTTAACTATTAATTTTAATTTTTTTGATCATCCTCCACCTCTTATCTAAGAGGTAGTTAATGATAAAAGCAATCAAAGGAGACTCCTATCTGATGTAATCTCTTTTGATTTATATGATTTTTTTTAATAAAAAAAACAAACAAACAAACTGAATCCACCTTTTCCAATTTCTATTAATGTTTTAAAGATATCAAAAGTCAAAACCATAATCAGTAATCAATATAAAGATACGGTGGCAAATTTCTTATTTAAAAAAAAACACTTCAATATATTTTTTTATTTTTGAATGACCAAACTCAATCTTCAGGGTAAGGCTATAAGTCAAGAACAATTTTTACCTCACTTGTCCTACCCACAAAAACAAAACAAAACAAAAACAAATTGGATTGGGCTTATGATCGATATATTAATGACCTGGTTTCGCCAAGTAATCCATTTTAATACAATTATAGGCTTCTAAGGTTAAAACACCAGTGAGAAAATGAATAAATTGTACTGATTCACGAATAGTTCACCTTTCTACATCTTTTATAGTTGATATTAATATCAATCCATCTAAATTATAAAATTTAGGAAAAATTGATCTGCTGATCCTTATATTTTTTTTAATTGAGTTAAATCCTTATAATTTGTTTTGTTTTAATAAAAACCTTTATAGTTTAATCAATTAAATATATTAATCCTTGACATTGAAAAGTATTAATGAATAATAATTTTTTCAAAATAAAAACACTTTTAAAATTTATATAACATTTTATTTAATATTTTAGCCAAAATATTTTGATTTAATACAATACTGACATTTTTATTAATTTTTTATGAAAATTATGTACACACACATAAGTTATTAGAAAACGTAATCTAATTATATAAATTTTAAATTATAAAAATTGTAAAATCAATTCTAAAATTATATAATATTTCAATAAACATATATAAGTAATTAATATGATCTTCTAAAAGAGAAAATTAAAGGATTTAACAATAAGAGACTAACATTTAATCGATCAAACAATTAAAGCTTGATTAAAATAAAATAAACTATTGAAACCTAATTCAAAATAATGTAAAACTACAAGGACTACAAGGATTTTTAAATTAATTTTTCCTAAAATTTATAACAAAACACATTAAGAAGTGTCGAGAAGTTCGATATGATTCAACTTTTTGGCAATGTCCTAGGCCCTGTTGCCAAATGCATTGAAAAGGTGGAAAAACCACATTTCTATAGAAACAAGAGTAAATTAGGTATAAGGATCAAAAGGGTGAAATATTGGGAGGAAAGATCAACCCTTGAAACTCTTGCAGATTTTCAAAATCTGCATTAATTATTCTTGGAGTTGAATTGCATATCTGCAATGGAGCCTCCAAGATTTGATCCTTCCTCCCAAATATTTCACTCTTTTGATCCTTATGTCCAATTTTAAATTAGATTTGATACTTGGAATGTTGGGACATTGAATTGTAAATCTGTAGAAGTTGTCAGGGTTATGATTCAAAGGAAAATCAATATCCTTTGCCTGCAAGAAACAAAATGGCGTGGAAAAGAAGCTAAGGATATTCAAGGTTTCAAACTTTGGTATACAGGAAAAGTAAGTGCACGTAATGGAGTAGACATCATTATAGATAAGGAGTGAAAGAAGAACGTTGTAGAAGTTAGCAGAATTGGAGATAGAATTATTTCCTTAAAAATAATAATTGGACGTGAGACTGTTAATATTGTTAGCGCTTATGCGCCGTAAGTCGAAACAGAAGCTAGTCTTAAGGAATTATTTTGGGAGGATCTAGAGGGGTTGATTCGACACATACCACAAAGTGAAAAGATTTTTATTGAAGGTGACTTTAATGGGCATGTTGGGAGGAAAGCTGGTCAGTATGCGAGGGTGCATGGTGGTTTTGGTTTTGGAGAGCTAAACAATGAAGGACAAACTCTTCTTGATTTCTTATTGACGTATGATTTTAAAATTGCCAACATTTGTTTCAAGAAGAGAGATGAACATCTCATTACTTACAAAAGTGGAGTCTCAAGGTCACAGATTAATTTTCTTTTGGTTAGGAGCACAGATAGAAGACTTTGTAAAAATTGCAAGGTGATCCCCGGAGATGCTGTAACGACACAACATAGGGTCATAGTCCTTGATGTGTGTATTATGAGTAAAATCCAAAAACGTCGACAAGTAGTAGCACCAAGGATTAGGTGGTGGCAATTAAAAGGTGAGAAGCAAGATATTTTCAAGTAAAATCTTTTGGATAAAGAAATTTGGGAATCTCAGGGAAGTGCTAACATCATGTGGGAGGATATGGCTAAAAAGATACGGGAGGTTGCAAAAGTAGTTTTAGGAGAATCAAAAGGTTTTGGTCCGAGAGATAAAGAGTCTTGGTGGTAGAATAATAATGTACAGGACAAAATCAAATATAAGAAGAACTGTTTTAAAGCCATACATTTGTATAACAATGAAGAAAATTGGGAGAGGTATCGTATGGCTAAGAAGGAAACTAAGAGAGTTGTGGGTGAAGCTCGTTCTAAAGCTTTTGAAGAATTTTATAAGAGCCTTGAGACGAAAGAAGGAGAGCAAAATATTTATAAGATTGTCAAGAGTAGGGAAAGAAAATCAAGAGATCTAGAACAGGTAAGGTGTATTAAGGATGAAGAGGGAAGAACTTTAGTTACAGATGATGAAATTAAAAATAGATGGGAGACTTACTTTTTTAAACTTTTCAATGATGGAGAAGGTTCATCTAGTAACTTGGAGGATTTAGTAACTGATGAAGGAGAACAAAATTTGTCATTCTATCGAATAATACGTGATAAGGAGGTAAAGGAAGCTCTTAAGAAAATGGCAAATGGTAGAGCCAACGGACCTGATTGTATATCTATGGAAGCGTGAAAATGTTTAGGTGAAGAAGGGGTGAGATGGTTAACTAAGTTATTTAATGTGATTTTACGATCCAAAAAAATGCCTGATGAGTGGAGGATAAGTATATTAATTCCTATTTATAAAAATAAAAGAGATATTCAGAATTGTACTAACTATAGAGGGATTAAGCTCATGAGCCACACAATGAAATTGTGGGAGAAAGTAATTGAGCACAGGTTGAGATTGGAGACAAGTATTTCTGAAAATCAGTTTGGTTTTATGCCAGGTAGATCAACTACAGAGGCGATTTATCTACTAAGGTGATTAATGAAAAAGTATCGTTGTAAAGATAAAGATCTACACATGGTTTTTATTGATTTGGAAAAAGCTTATGACCGTATACCAAGAGAAGTGCTTTGGAAAGCATTAGAAAAAAAAGGGAGTACGGATTGCTTATATTAAAACCATACAAGATATGTATGAGGGGGTAAAAACTAGTATAAGAACGCCTAGTGGTCAAACAAAGGATTTTCCTATAAAGATTGGACTACATCAGGGATCATCTCTGAGTCCTTATTTGTTCAACTTGATCTTAAATGTTTTGACGGAACATATTCAAGGGAAAATTCCGAAATGTATGCTCTTCGCGGATGATATAGTTCTTATAGCAGATATAAGAGAAGAGGTTAATTGCAAACTTGAGTTATGGAGGAGGACATTGGAGTCAAAAAGTTTTCGTCTGAGTAGAAGTAAGACGGAATATTTATATTGTAAATTTGGTAAAGGACTATTCGACAATAATTTGGAAGTGAAATTGGAAGATTAAATTATACCTCAAGTGGAAAAGTTTAAATATTTGGGAGCTATTATTCAAAATGATGGCGAAATCAGTGGAGATATTTCACATAGAATTCAAGCTGGGTGGTTTAATTGGAGAAAAGCTAAAGGAATTATTTACGACCGTAAGGTGCCTAATAAACTTAAAGGAAAGTTTTATCGCACTGCTATCAGACCGGCAATGTTATATGGTAGTGAATGCTGGGCTCTAACGAGACAGCAAGAGCATAAAGTTGGAGTAGCAAAGATGAGAATGTTACGATGGATGCGCGGACATACACGTAAAAATAAAATTCGAAATGAGTACATACGCGAAAAAGTGAGGGTGGCACCTATTGAGGAAAAAATTGTAGAAAATCCATTGAGATAGTTTGGGCATGTACAAAGAAGACCAAGGGAGGCACCAGTGAGAAGAGTAGAACATATAACTTTGAGTCCAATTAAGAGAGGTAGAGGAAGGCCTAAGAGAACACTTTTGGAAGTTATTGAACGCGATCTGTTAATTAATAATATTCCTAAAAGCTTGATAAATGATAGAGCACAATGGCGTCTTGCAATTCATGTAGCCAACCCCACCTAGTGGGATAAAGGCTTGTTGTTGTTGTTGTTGTTGTTGTTGATCCTTATGTCCAATTTTCCCTAGAAACAACCTTGCTTCTGCAGAAAGGTGATTTTCCACATTTCCAATGTGCTATCAAACACAAACCTCAGTTTGAGAGGCACAGCAGGTGTACATTAGATGTGAATCAGTTGTGGGATTATACAGGAACTGGACCAAATCTATGAATTATTAATGAAGCTACAACAATAGCCATTCAACATTATGAGTTGTTGCTGAATCTCCTGTTCAAAATAGGTTCATCAGCTAGTTATGACAAACTCAAAAGTACAGTAAAAGGACATTAAAAACCCAAAAAGTTTGATTATGACGCCAATGTACCACAAGATTCTCATGACAGAAGCACTGCAGCTCTTGAAGAAATTCACTTAATCATCATCATCATCTGCAATGTAACATCCCAGATGGATAACACGTAACAAGAAAACATGATTGCTCACAAGCAACTTCAGACTTTAAATAATTAGTAATCCACCTATCTGTTTCTTTAATCATAAACTATAACAAGTAATTAATATACAGAACTTATACACACTCATTCCCCTATCAACAGAAATGGACTAATCTTCCTCTGCAATGTCATATTACAGATAAATATACACACTAGATTATTGACGTATTATTATGATGTTTTTAAAAGAAATGTTATAACATGCACTCGTTATTAGGACAAAATTTAGCATTTGTTTTTTTCATAAATTATTTGCAGAAGCTTGGAAGAATAGTGAAGGATTCCTATTAGAGTACATTCATACCAAAATTCAAATAATGAGAAGCAGTTCCAATGCGCAAGAAAATTTTACGACTAGCTAGAGGATGAGATATTGTAATCAGAAATTACAAGAGAAAGCCTCGCAACAAAAAGGATTTGAAGCCTTCTAAGGCCTGTTAGAACATGTGAGAAACCTATTTGAATTAAGATAAAGCAGTGCTCTTTTGGGAGGCTGATAAGGCAGCTGTTTTAACAAAACATGTGAGAGGAAATCAAGGAATACCCATGGAATAGAAGGGAACAACTCTGCTGGTCCAAGGAGTTATCCTAGGGCTCCAGATTATAAGGAAAAGGAAATGTTCAACTAGTCTGCTCTTATTATAGTATAGGGAGGCATGGGCTGTGTTAGGGCGGAGTGAAATTCACCTTTTGGTTTATAATGTCCTAGTGGTTTCCAGAGGGTGTTCAGAACACATTTTGAGATTGAGTGTGGTAAGGAAGAGTTCTAGAGTCTTGAATGCCAAAGTATGTCCAGTGTGCTCAGTCTGTTACTCTCTGTTTCTGTACTTGTTGCTGTTCAGTTTACATTTTGAGTTGTAACAGGGGAATAGGGTTTTGGCCAGAATCAGTAATGCCACTTGTAACTCTGATTCAGTTTTCTTGAGTAGTAATATCAAAACCTAAGCATTTCCCTCATTGCTGTCCCTTTCCGCATTATCTTATGTTCTTATTCAGCAGGGTTGTATCGGAAGCCATATATACAATCATATCTCAACACAATTGCAGAAGATATGCCCTTGAAGAAACCCAGGAACCACAAATTGCCACAAAGTTTAGGTATGGTTCCTGTTACCAAACAATATAAATAATAACAGGAACAGTTTCATGTACTCAGCCGCACCCTATCCTCACCAAAAGATAGCACAGCTTATTCCAAAGGTAACAAATTGCTAGAGAATGGAACGAATAGGGCAAAGTTTTCTAGCTAAATCTGCACTGACATGTATCAGAAGAAACAATCAAATGGGGTCATCAAACCTACAACATGTAAAGGGTTTATCCTTTTGTGTATTGTTCTCCGAACATAAGATTTGACATTTGAGAGTTCTAGAATTCCAAATTAGCTTATCATGAACAAATTGTTCCCTTTTAGAAGGATGAGAAATAACAAGATTTCCAGTAAGTTGAGAAATCAACAGATTCCAAGTTAAGAAATTGCAAGAACTGGTCACCCATCAATTCAAAGCATGAGTACTAAAAAGGTTCCTAGCAGTCCCGTACAAAAGTCAGATATCCCTAAGAAGCACTAACAATTACTTCACTCAATCACATTCAATCCCCAGACTGCAATGCCTAACCCCATATCAGCATATCACTTGTTTTTATTTCATTCTTCCAAAAATGCTTGATGCAATGCCAAAAAGGGTGAGGAACAGGAAGTCATGCCCCATGAAAAAGGAGTCAAAACATTAATGGTTTCAAATATTTTAATGATAGATATGTGTGACAAGGAGGAAGAGGAAATTCAAACTCACTTTCCTATCTTTTTCCCAGGATTTCAGTACTTAAAAATATCACCAGAAAATCCTGAACCGCTGACAAATCAATAGCAATCAAAGAATGCATGTGTACAACGTATTCAGCTACAGTTAGAAAAGCGTGAAAAGAATGAAATTTCTCCCTGAATAAATCACTTGTAGAAGCACTAGTCTGCAGATTTACTAATCTTGACACTATTGGCAACTCAATAATTAATATTAAATATGCATCCGCAGAAATTTTGCACAAACATCACTGCATTCAAAACACTAGTTTGAATTTACAGTGGCCATCTATCATACATGTAAAAGCAAACCCTAAAATCTCAGCACCGATTCCATATCAATTCAAGATTCAAATTCTTGGACGTTTTCTCATATTAAAAGAGTAATTCAAATGAAAGGGCATCTGTCTGGGACAACATACAAGTGGATTGGAACTAAATAGCTGATGGAACCACATCAAGATGCTCCAAATTCACATCAATAATTTGACCTTCAGATTATATTTCAGTACATCATCCTCTTCTTCTCATATAATATTTTCAATCAATAAAGCAATTTCAGGAGCAGCCGAAATAGTAAACCTACACATCTCATGGTCATTGCAAATATAACTTTACCCTCTCAGCCGAAGAAACGACAGAGAACAATAAATATCAAAGAAAAAGAATGGTTATTGTTCCTTGAACGAACCCCAGAACCTAAAGAAATTGTAAATGTCTGTTCGACAATCCAAAGCATCAGTCCCCCGCTGCACCGATAACAAGTATAATTCCCATGAAGTTAAAGGTGCAAGATAGATGCAATAATCAGAAAGGAAACAAATTAAATAAAAAAGGAATCAAATTTAAAGTGATAAGATCATATTCAGAGGAGTAAGGCAAAAAGGGGCAAGAGGAAGAGGGGGCTAACCAATATAACGTCGCTCGTTTGCTGCTTTGGCCTTTTCGAGCATCTTGTCGAGGTCTTGCTGGAGTTGAGCATCCCATTTCACAAGCTGATTAACAAAAACAACACCCAAACCCATTCCCAAGACATGCTCCCACGGATCTATAGTAAGGAAGAGAGAATATGAGAGAGAGAGAGAGAGAGAGAGAGAGAGAGAGTATTCCCGAGAATCAAACAGAAATCAGGGTAGAAACCGGAGACTTACGTCGCATATAGGGGAGTTTACGGAGGGCATTGGAGTACATCTGAGTACCCAAACCAAGCAAGGCTCCGATCGCCGTCGCACCCAATGCCATTATCGCTCTCAGTCTCACCTCCACTACTCGCTCCTTCGATGATTCCTTGTTCGATTTTGTGAACTTTGGGCACTTCGGTGTCTTTTTCCGTTGTGTTCACCAAATGTTTTTCTTTTTCTATTTTCTTTTCATAATATTTCTTTTTATCGTTTAAAAATTTATTCTTACTCTTAATTTTTTTTATTAAAACTCTTTAAATTTTTATAGTTAATCTCCTATACATTATTATGATTATTTAGTATTTTCATAAAAAGCATCAACAATATTTAAACTTGACTTAGTAAATAATATTGAATACAAAATATTTATAAAGAAATAGATACAATTTAAAAAACATCAATCTGATCAAACAATAAATAAATTATCAATTTTTCAAATTCATCTATTAATTATTAGAATAAGCAATTATCAAAATAAATTTAGTGAGTAGTACATTGTCTGGTGTCTTTGTACATAAATTTGCATTAAAAAAATTATCTAACATTGTAACAAATACAAGTAAATTAAAAGTTACATTGTACCATTGAAATTATGTTGATGAAATGTTTTGAAACTATTCTTTATTACATTTGTTGTTGATTTTGGTTTCTCTAAATCATGGATTATGATATTTAGACCATCCACTGCCTTAAATCATGAGAATGCAACATAAAGTTCATATGTGAAAATATTATTGGCACTTATAGTTCATCATACAATGATTAACTAACCTTAACTTTTGTTTATTGTTATTGCAAATGAAATAATTATTAAAAATTGTCTTCGTTGCATGATAAAAGGCAATGTTGTTTTGAAAGGATTTTCATATCCATCTTATGCGACAATAATTCTTTACCTAAGCCTAATCCTTTTAAAGTTACTACTTTCAAGATATGTTTCTCAAGGAATGTTATGTGATATTGAGTGCCATTACATAGTACTAAACTTGTTCAATATTTCTTACAAGCATAAGTAGTGTCACAATCTTAAGGGTCAATATATGTGGAGGCAGTTCAAAACTATCAATGGTATCACTACAACATTTTAATGTCATGACAACAATTAACGTGGCAATGGGTATAAAACTATTGCCTATTCTTAAAAATAGGCAATAGTTTCCACTGTATTACATATAGGTAGTGCTATGGTAGAGGTGTCATGCCAACCACCTTAAAACAAAAGGGTTACTTGTGGATTTAACAATTTGCTTGAGCCTCCTCTTGCTCAAAGGGATTTGAATAAAAAGATTGAAGAAACCAAATAATCTATTCTCTTTAGTGGCTTGTTTGGATTGTTGTGAGTGCTTATGAAATAATAAATGTTATTTTGATATATAGATGAAATGGAAATGCTTTTCATGATGGAAAATTATATGTGAAGTGGGCAAGAGATTTTATAAAGAAATATAAGTATGTACATTATATAAATAATTGTGAAAATGATTTAAAGAAAGTTCTTGTAAAGGTTGATCATGATTTTGTTGATGTATGCAAAATGAACATTTATTGAAATCATAAATGTTGAAATGATGTATTTAGAATTGTATGATACCTGTATAGCATGATCATATTTTGAGAGAGTGGGAGTTCAATCTAAAGGGTGATAGTGTAAATCCATATGATATACTGACATCATGGGAGGCCCTAATGATCAAATTATTACTTAGAAACTCTATTATTACCTATATAAGTATGGGTTGGGGCATATGACACCCCTAAATTTGAGCAAGGGGAAATTCTTGGTCCAAAAATGAGCATGGAACCTTTTATTAGGTTACTCCTCACAATTAGTGAGTTTGGGCTAGCCTAACCACATAAGCTTGGTCCTAATCCTATGTGTATGGACCTTTGCATGATTATTGATACAACATCCCTAAATTTGAGAAAGGGGGAAATTTTTGGTCCAAAAATGAGCATGAAACCTTTTATCAGGTCATCCCTCAGAATTAGTGAGTTTGGGCTAGCCTAACCACATAAACTTGGTCCTAATCCTATGTGTATAGAACTTTGCATGCTTATTGACTTTGTAGTTTGGGCTAGCCTAACCACATAAACTTGGTCCTAGTCTTGTGAATATGGAACTTTGCATAACTTTGCATGTTTATTGACTTTCTTTGTGTGTGTGGGCGTGCGTGCATGTGTGTGTGTGCAAGTGCTATTACAAGTGCAAAATTGTTTTCTTAAACTGTTTTATGTGGTCAAGTGGCCATTATAAGGGTTTATGCCTCTTTATTGGAGCTGAAGTAGCCAAATTGTATTTTGGTTATATATTGTTGTGTGTAATGCATTAATAAAGTGTAAGTTGGTCCCTTAAGTATGGTTCAAGCCTTAACTGAGGCTAACAGTATATGACTTGTGTAACACCCCTCAAAATAAAGACTAGGTTAATTAAAACTAATCCAAAATTTATACAACTATAAAAATAAACACGAAATTAAAACCAAACGAGGATCCTAACCCAAGAAAGTCTACTTACAATACTAAACAAAAACAGCCCATCACAGAAGATGGGTTTTCCTCTACAATAAGCAAACCTACTATAGAACAAGCCCATTAGACATACTAGAGGACAACTCTATAAACCACTAAAAATATAACATAGGAGTACCATAATTTTAAAGATTTATAACAAATTAAAAATGACACTTGGCTAGAAACCACATGCTTAAGACTATAAATAAATGACGATATACATACATTAAACGAGTCTTGACATTGTGGGCCAAGAGTGAGTTATAACTCTCACTTAAAGAATGTTAGAATGAGGGGTGAGATACGAAATCTTAATAACCAAAGAGAAATTCTAGTCTAAACAAGCATATCTTAATACAATATATTTTCATAAAAAAAGTGCATGCTCAAAAGTACTATGTATGGAAAGTAATTTACAATCAGGATTCTCAACTTTTAATAAATGTGCTAGTCTCAAAAAAGAGTTCCCAAACTTTATCATTTCATTATCCATCATATATTCATTATACATAATTAACATCAATTTTTGTTCTCACCCCAATACCCCCTTTTATAACTTGTAGGCAACAGTTTAGAGAGTGCCTCTATAACTAGCCTTCTTATGTAATCCTTGGCCAGAGATTCTCTACATTCAAGAAGGGCTTATAGAGTTGTTCCACTTTCAATAGTCTAGCCACTATGGTTAATGAATACATTTGCCTATTTTCTCTTTCCACTTCCATGCTAAGAATAATGGATAAAGAATAGTAGGTCTTATATGCCACTCCATTACCTTTTCTTGCTATAGAAATGAGAATTTTAAGGACTAACAATTACCGCATGATAATAAATGATTTTGTCAAGTCACAAGTCACATCTAATCCCATTATGCATTCAAAACCACAATACAATGTATATACATGTATATCAAATTAATCATTTTTCTTAAAAGGTTCAATCGAACAATAATTAAATTAGGGATGACATTCCCAAATACACTTTACAATTGCTAGGTAGGGTGTACAAAAATATTATCAAGATATCATACTCATATTCAGCCTAATAAGGCTACTCAAAGTAGCTTTTATGAACATTTTTCTAAACCCATAATATTATAATGCCATGATTTGTAATTTTTCTCAAACAAAATATTTCAAGGAGGGGGAAGTAAAAAACTAAAGTTAAGGAAACGAAAAAGAGTAATTTGAATATGTAACCTTTGAATTAATTGTGCCATTTTTGTTTCATGTTTGAATTAGTTTTGCCATTTTTATTTCATGTTTGAATTAATATCATTGATTAATGTTTGAATTAATTATGGTTAATTAATTTTTTGAATTAATCATGGTTGATTAATTTTTGAATTTGTTGTGTTACAGATAAATGGCTTTAAATCTTGAGTCTACTAAAATCTCTCCATCAAATCCTACTGCAACTTCTACTAATGCTCTATTGTCACAAAAAAAAATTATAGTAAGAATATAACAATATCCAGCGGGGCCTAACAATAATGGAAGAAGTTACAAAAACAAGAGCTGTAAGGAAAAAATTAATAGTGTAGTAGAACAAGAAAGGGAAAGCTATCAAATCTGCAATGTTTATAAGTTATATTGGGATGGTGGTAAAGACAACTGTATCTATCACGTAAAAATCCTGGCGCAAAGTTGATCAAGCCATAAGTAAGTTGCATTTTACAAAGTTATATTCTATTATAGTATTTTAAATTGATGCACCTAATATATTTATTTTATTTTAAAGTTAGGATTTGAAATAGATGAGAGTAAGAAGGATTTTGTCCTTCAGCTAGGAAGGCATTACGGTCTTTCATACATTTTATCACATACAAATTTTTAAAAGACCCTGATGCTGAATTTGTTGCCTAAGTTCTTCCCCTATCACAACCTTTAGTAAAACAAGAAGATTGTGATGCTTTTGTTGCCTTTTGGTGCGAAAAGGAATTTAAGATATTTGTGTTTCTAAAATTTAAATTTTGGTGCCTTTTATTGAATGTATATATATGTACTAATAGGATATTTTTGTTATTGATTAAAGGAATTGAGCTCCTAGAATAAGGAAAGAGTGGCCAAGAATGAATACCCTTACAAAACAGGAAGGTTAGTGTATGCAGTCGTAGAGCAAAAACAAATGGAGGCTGAGGAATCAAATATTACCTTATCCCACTAAAGACTTTGGGCATTGGCATGAATAAAAAAAGATGGAGTTATTGACAACCCTTGTATGAAAGAGGTTACTAAAAAAATTGTAAGTGTTATTATTATCTATCAATTAATAAATAATTATGAAAATGCATACTAATCAACTTTACTTTACACAAGATTCCCTCTCTCAAGAAGTCCCATAAGGCAAGCTTCCTGAGCATGAGGATATCTTGGCTAGAGCATTGGGGACCCTTAATTACCCTAGTCATGTCAAAGGTGTCGGCTTCAATGTCACAAAGAAGTAATACTTTGGTAAGATTAAGAAGTGAACATCAGGTTCTTCATTCAAGATCCAAGAGTTAAGAGAAGAGCAAGCTATTATAAAGCAATAGCTAGAAGCCTAGGTGAAGTTAATTAACATGTTATTGAAGGGGCAAATCCTTGGGAGGCTTTTGGCTGATGTTAGCCCTAATAGGAAAGATA